AGCCTTGCTTCAGCATCAAGTCTCTCTTATGCTTTTGGAACTACTCATTCCCTCCCAGGACTTCTCCGAATTGCTGGATCAGTAAGTCTCCTCCTGGTGCCACAGATTCTTAGATGGGATGACAGAGTTAACTGTCTCTTCCCTAGTGCTCTTATATTGAGGCAGGCGTGAGAGGGCATCGACAAGGAAGTCCCCCCCCCCAGCAAATAACATAAGGAGCCTATCAGACTTCCTTAGAGGACTGGTTCCTTGGGGCCTTTAGTGCTCCCAGGTTCTTGCGGTCGGTCCAAACTTTGAACGGGATTTTGTGCCCTTTAAAAACTGTCTCCAGATGAGGAGGGCCCAGCTGATAGCGTAAGCCTTCTTCTCCCAGATGGCCCACCATCTCTTGGTGTCAGTTTCTGAGACATATAGGCGAAAAATTGCAGCTCTTCCCTTCCATTTTTCTGCATTAAAATTGCCCCCATGGCCATGTCGCTGGTGTCTTCCTGGATCACAAACGGTTCATCTGGGTTCTGGTGTCTCAATATTGGCTCAGCAGCAAAAAGCTCTCTTTAGCTTTTTGAAAACTGCTTGGCACTCAACAGTCCAGTTCAAAGATTGACTAGGGCTTCATCCCCTTTCCCATTTTCAGCTGGGTTCATGATGGATAGGGCTATCTGTGCGAATGTGGTAATGAATTGCCTATAGAAGTTTGGAAACCCCAGGTTGCCTTCTGGTCTGTGGGGCCACCCATTCTAATATTGTCCTCACTTTTTCCAGGTCCATTTGTACTCCTTTCCTGGAGATATGGTAACCTAAGTAGTCTAGACTGGTCTTGTGCAAGTCACATTTGGATTGCTTCAAGTACAGCTGGGCTTTTAGCAGCTTCTTTAGCACAGGTCTCACTAGCTTTATGTGCTTTTCCATGGTTTCAGTATAAATGAAGATATCATCACCAGTGCCCCTTTATACAGATGTTCATGTAGGATTTCGTTTATTAGTTACATGAACACAGCAGGTGCCCCTTGCAGCCCAAAATGGATAGCACCCCAAGGGGTAGTTGAATGCAGTCTTCCACTCATCCCCTTCCCTAATCCACACTCGCTAGTACACTTCCCTCAAATCCAGCTTGGTGAAAATCTTCCCCTTGGACAAATAACCCGACATATCAGTCATTAAGGGAAGGAGGTACATGTTCTCCATGCAAATGGCATTTATCCCCTATAATCCCCACATATTGTCAGGGACCTGTCTTTCTTTCTTTGCCTTTGGTTTTGGTGGCTCTCACTTTTGTTTGTGTCCTGGTGGTTACTTGTGTTGCTAGTTGGTGAGAGGGGATGACTGGCCTGATTATATCTGGCTTAGAGCTGTTATATTGAGGCACTCTAGATTGTGTATCAGCTGGGAAACTTTTCCCCCTGAGTGTTATTTCAGAGTGAAATTGAAGCAATTAAATTATTGCGCCCATCAGGCTTGTTTGGGCAATAGCTTTCAGGGAGGTTTTATGGCCTTTAGATGTTTGGCCCCCTCCAGGAAGTGTCTCCATGTAAATAACGCCCATTGCACTGCATATGCCTAAACAACACTCAGTGTTGGTGAGTTTTTTTGGACATGTAGGTGCAGGGTTGCAGGGGTCCCTCCTGGTTTCCTTGTAGGAGAACTGCCCCCACAGCCACATCACTGGCATCAGCTTGGATGACAGAAGGAGTGTTCGGGTCTGGGTGCTTTAGGATCACTTCTCGGGGAGGGCTTTCACCACTCATGTCCCGATCAGTGCTTGTTCCGGGCCATGTCAATCTCTACTTCCTCTGCTAGGATGTACCAACCATGGAGAGTGGGGGGGGGCATCCCTGGAGACACAGGTATTATAGATTTCGTCACTCAGCCATCCTTGAAATAGCTGTCTTGTAGCCAGTTAATCGGCACACCAGCTGGTGAAATTCTTGCGTGTACTCGGTGACCCCCTTCCTCCCTTGCAGGATGTTTTTGATGCAGCTAGGGCAGTAGTGACGAACCTATGGCATGGGTGTCAAAGGCAGCACCCGGAGCCCTCTCTGTGGACACATGTGCTGTTGCCCCAGCCTTGCCTCCCCCGCCACCCCCTCCTCTCCAGCAGCCCCCCTGAAGGAGAGTCACCCTTGAGCGTGGCCCACACGGAGCAGCGCAGCCAAGGACATGGCAGCCAGGCAGCGTAGACAAGACTCGGTCCTCACACCCCATGATGCAGTTGATGCTGCAGGGCACGGGCAGAGGGTGTGGCCGCCATAGCGCTGCTGGGCTGCCTGGGCGATCTGCGGCGGGCCCTGGAGGCAGTGAATGGTCCTGTGGGTGAGGGGGGCAGGGGATGGGAGGGCAGAGCGGGGGCAGGGCAGGAGGGTGGAGTGGGTGTGGCCAGTTTTTGGGCACTCGGTCTCTAAAAGGTTTGCCAGCACTGAGCTAGGGAGTCTTCGAACCGCTTGCAGAGGGCAGCCATGAAGTGATTATTTCTCAGCTCCAGGGTGTTGTCATGCTGAAAGGTCACCATCCACTGGGTAACTGGCCCCTCCAGAGCCATGATAACATCTCACCTTGGCTCCTTCGATGGGTATTTCCCGGCCATACTCCAACATGTAGGTCCAGGCCAGGCCAGGAAGAATCCCAGTTGCTGGGGGGGTCCCTGTTAAACTTCACACTCGGGGGGGTTGCCTTGTGGACTCGCTTCCCCCCCTGGGGCTGGTCCCATAGGTACTCCCTTCCAGGCAGCCACCCCCATTATTGGAGAGGTGGCGATTGCCACCATTGGGCTAGCTGAGATACTGGCCATCGCAATGGGATGGATGTTCCATCTCATCGCCAGCTGTGCTGGGGTGAATAGATGTGCCCCATCCAAGACAGGGTTTTGCGCGCTTTGAGGTTCTCTAAAGCCCCCCCCCCCCGGCATGAACTTTATGGCTTGTTCTATTATCCAGTCTGCCCAGTTGCTCTCTCCACACGCCTCATCACTTTCTTCATCCAGCCCTTCCAGCTCAGCTCGCTTTCTACATTGGTGGCTGCCTCTTCCTCCGTGGGTGAATGTCACCCCTTGGAGTTTCTCTTCCCACTTCTCTTTTCCCCTGACCCCTAGGGATCATCTGGTGTTTCAGCAGGTTGTCTTCCCCCAGCCACTCAGACAGATCCAGTCCTCCAGAAGGGGGTCTGGTAGACGCATCTCCACAGGTTTCATTTTCTTCCCGGTCACTCCCTTGAGTTGACATCATACGCACGGTCCCCACAGTAGAGATGTAATCCTCTCCGGGTTGACTAAAAGTACAGGTTCTGCTTACTGTCAGAACTGCCCCAGTTTGCTCTCTCGAGTAGGACTCGTGACTCAGAAACTGTTTTCAGCCAAGTCAGGCGGAATCTGGTCTTTCTGCACAAAATACAAAGCTATTCTTTCCAACTCCCAATCCCTCCCCCCATGACCGGTCCCCCAACCAGCTAATGTGATGCCGGTAAGATGTTTTGAGAAGCTCTGGTAATATTCCATTCTCTTCTTGTTCCATATCCGTTATCGGATGTTGGCGATCATGTTGGCAATCCTATTTTTATCAACAGCCACACAAAAAGTGCTGCTGAGGTTTGTCCAAACCAGTCCGTTAGATTTTGAAGCCACGATGTTCTTCTGCCTGGACCTCGTTTGCCTTCAGTCTTTCCTTGGAGAATTAAATGGAGTATGCCATATTTTTCTGGGTGTTGCATCACATGTCCGAAATATTCTTTCATTTTTTAATTGTTTTGATGATTTCCCTGGGCTTTCCCAGCTATAATGGGTAGCCCCCCCCCAATCCACCACCTGGGGACGCGCTTTGTGGGGGTTCCAGGCTCTCCCTAAGACAGTGGTTCTCAACCATTTTAATGCTGTGACCCCCAACCGGTCGTTAAGTCAAGGACTACTCAACGGTCGTAAGTCAAGGACTTTCCCTGCCCGGGAGCGCCGCGCATGTGTGGGGCCGCCCCCTGCGCCGGCTGAGGCATAGCTGGCAAGGGGCAGCCACCGCGCAGGGTGACCTCTGGCTGGACCACCAGCTGGCCCAGCCCAAGGGAGGTAAGGCACCCGCCAAGCCCCACGCGCACCAGCAACCCTCCCTGCGCCCGCCGGCCTCCCACCTCCCACCCCTGGCCCTCTTTCACTTACATTTTTAGTACTTGCTCAGCAGGGAGGGGTGGAAACTTCCAGACAGCTCGCCTTTGCTGCAGACAACTTGCAGCACCGTTTGCAGAATGGGACTTTTGGCGGGCTCAGCAGGGCAGAGACAGCCTGGACAATTCCTATTGGCTTTTGAAAGCCAATAGAATTAGACTCTATTCAAGAGAGTCTATTCTATTGGCTTTCAAAAGCCAATAGAATAAAAGGGAGTAGCACAGCTAAGGAAAAGGGGGGGGGGAAATGGCGGACTGCGTTGTTTGGCGACCCCCGTGAAATGGTCGTTCGACCATTCTCAGGGCAAACAATTGAAGAACCTTGTATAAGCCGGTTTGGTGATTGGATCTTCTTCCATTGTCACTTTTCCCTCCCCACTCCCAGTCCCTTCCCATTCCCCACCATTTGATACCCAGGTGTGGATTGCCTCAAATGCCTCCCCCCCCCTTCCCCTTGGATGGCAGGAGCCCAGCAAGGCGCCAGGCCGACGATGGAGAGCCTGACATTAACATTGACAGTAGTTAATACTCGCCTAACACTTGCCACAGCCACCCACGGGTCACAGTCCAAACTATGGCTGAGAAAGTAGCTCAATAGTGATTGGCACAGATTGCAGAAGCTGCTAATTCAATTCAGGAATGAGGTATCCGACGGCCTTTATTGCATCTTATATTTTCTGCTAAGGAATGTTTCCTGCTGAGCTATTTCAGGCTTTCATTCAGTATGCTTCTCAAAGCAAAGGATTTGGTCAGCTGTAGTTCTTCGGTTATGAGTAGCCTAGAATTAATTTTTTGCGACAGGATTTTGCTCTTCAACTATGGATAGGTAAAATAATATTTACAATTTGTTCATTTTTCAGGAAATCAGAAGAATATCCAAAAGTATCTAACTGCACCTGACAGGAATACAGCTTTCCACGCAGAAGACAAACCACGTGTGCCGCTGAATTATGACAACCCCATTTACAAACAGGACCAGCCTTCTCAAAGGCAGACATCTTTCAATACATTTTTAGACAGCGGAACGCTAAATGCTTCCAACTACTGGCTACAGAGAAGTCACGCTGGGCAAGAGACAGCAGCAGCAGCAGCAGCAGATCGTGACACAGCGCACGGGGACTCTCTCCCCCAGATGAGCGAGGACTCACGAGAGCCCCTGCCCCAGTGGCCACTCCCTCAGGGAAAGGATGAGGCTGGTACTTTGGGCTGGAAGCGGTCCCCTGGCCGGGGTTACGCCACCGTCTCACATGGGGCTTCAAGACACAAAGGCTTTCAGGGTGGCGGTCTGATTTCCCAGCAAGCCAAGGTCCAAGGCCCGAGGCGTGTCGACATGCCCCCGGACGAAGACTGGCGGCAACACACCTTTGCTCCACAGCCTGCCTCAAGAAGCATCTTCGTCCACTCCGGTAATGCCCTGTAAAACCCTGGCCCGTGTCGCGGTTCCCTCCATGCACAGCCATGACTGGTGAGAGGGCACCCTTCCGCTGGGGCTGTCCCTGTCGAAAGAGGCCCTTGTCTGAACTGAAGATACTGAAATGCAGGTAATAAGATAGCAAGATTTCCCCCCCCCCCAGCCAGTCGTTGCCGGCTTTGTCTTTAAAAATAATTAATGTGATTGCTGAAAACTGACTGCACTTTATATTTCTTTGTATGTACTGCTGTTTATAAAGAACTTTTTCAGCAATTCCATTCCTAACCTTTTGCTATAAGAAACGGTTTTAAGGCTCGCTTGCAGTAGGAGAGCGGGCAAGGTTTGCATTTTGGACTGAAATTAAATCCTCTGATGTTTTCTGTAGGCTGTATTTGGTGAATTTATGTATCATGTTATGTAGCACTAGAAAGCCTGTGTGCCAACTTTCAATTCAGTGTTATGTTCTTCCGCTCCATTACATGCTGGGGGGGGGGGAAGATTTCAGATCTTTCTACAGAATTGGCAGTGTTCATAATTTAGTAAGATATAGGCACAGATAGGGGCTAGGGAGGGGAGCGGTAAGAAGATATGGCACCAGCCTATTTCTCATCTTTTTTCAAAGTAGACTAACAGGGTTTGAAGTAGCACGTTTAATAAGCACAGAATCACTGTAACTATTTTAGGCTCTGACATACTTGCCTTTGTAAGTTTTCTCAAAGAAATAAAATGAAATAGTTATGTTTATTGAATGATTATTAATTACTTTCCTATCTTCCGAAAGGTATTTCCCAATTAGGAATAGCTCTTTTACTGTTTTTTTTTTCTCTTTCTGGTATTAAAATGTTTTATGGATTGACTTTTATAATAACCTACTTTGTGAATCTAGTTAAAATAAGGTGATTTGTATGTTTTATAAGATTATGATTTACAACAGAACCGTTGTGAATGATGCAGACAAAATACACCACATTTAAAGGCCCTGTTGAGAAGTTAAGTGTCCTCATCCTGATTTTCATTCTGTTTTAAAGTTTTGTAAATCGGGAGATTTAGTTACAATTATTTCGTCAAATGAGTGATGACATTATGTCTATGTTCTTGGATTTTTATAGGAATCATGACATTATGTGTGACTTTTTTTAATTAAAAACTCATACATTTTTCCTTATATTAACATTGCAGAAATTCAGGATGGATATTTTGTAAATGCCAAATGAGAAAACTTTTGATAGAATATTTTAAGAAATTAGAGTAATATGAATTATATTACAATATAGTAAGCTCAGTAACAGGGAAAGATTGAAGGCGAATGAGGTCCAGGCAGAAGAAGAACATCGTGGCTTCAAAATCTAAGGGACTGGTTTGGACAAAACTCAGCAGCACTTTTTCGTGTGGCTGCTAATAAAAACAGGATCGCCAACATGATCGCCAACGTCCGATAACAGATATGGAAGAAGAGGAGGAGGAGGAGGAGGAGATGAAGAAGCTGCTGTTGCCGCTGCTGCTGCTCAGTAAATTTCTGAATTCTTGGCCCTTGCATTGCAAGTTGCTCCAAGAGTTAGATAGCAACTCCTGTCACCTTAGCCAGTAGTTGCTACCTTTTCACACTACACATTGCCCCCCCCCGCCTTTATGTATTTCTAACCTTTAGAAAATTAAGCAGTCCATAAGGCCATGAAGAGTTGGCGGTGGCTTACAGTCTTAGCCAGGTTGGTCTTCCAACAGATATGGGTGATGCTGTTTCAGCTATTATCTTCGCATAAATGGAACAAGAATGAATATTGTGGACTTAATGCATCCTGACAGCTACTCCACTGCATGGGTTCAGGAAAGACAAAATATAGCACAAGTAGTTCTGGCCAGAACACATTTGTTTCTGATCCTTAAAATACAAGGTAGCAAACTATGACAACTTACCTCTTTAGCCTCCTGCACGTATCCTTTCATACTCTCAGGCCACCTATTCTTTCTTTCCTCGGAGCATTTTTTCTGTAAGGGCCCTTTTTAAGTTTATGAAGAACCTGGTTCCATCACTCAATTACTCTGGAATTCCAAAGTAGTAAGATAACTTTTGTTTTTCACCTCTAGCACTTTGGATGCTCTTTTTAATCAACTAGCTTGCAATTTGGGGAAAGGGGGGGAAATTGTCCTTGCTTACCCCAAAGGAACATATAAATACAGTATAATTGTAAGTGGTGTCAGGAAAGCCGACAACTCAGAATGAGCTGAGATTACTAAAGGGTGCAAGGATGACAGAATGTTCTATTAAACATCTATGCTGAAAATACAAAGAATTAGTATACTGTACCAGCTGCTCAGTGGAAAAAAGCTAACCAGCAATAAACGCAAAGCTACTCAACTCATACTTTTGTGTAGCCTACACCAACAAATGAATTAGATTTTTCATTAGGCAGTGTGAAGATCGGGATGAAGGGGCAAGATTTAGACTGGAGATGGATAGAAATAAGATCAGGAAATACCTCTATTTTGAATGAATTGAAATTCAAGCAAACTATATTTTGGGATACTTATTTGGGGGGGGGGAAACTGGACAACTGATTTAAGTGCTGAGTGCCTGGAGCAGTGCTCCTATTCCTGTCTTCAAGGGTGGGCAGGGGATTATCAAGGAAATTATAGACTAGTCCGATTGAGGCCGATAATCATCTAGAACGAAAGATCCAAAGAGATTGATAAGCATCTAGGAAATATAATTACTCAAAGCCTGCATGGAACTTGTCAGGCTAGCCTTATCACATTTGTTATCTTTATTAATCAATTTGGGAAATGCTTTAAGATTTAGTTTCAGCTTGATAAAATACCCTGCGAGAAGCTCAGAGTGAAGGTAGCTAAAAAAGGGTGCTGCCAGATGCCCCTTCAGCGCCAAAGGAAGACCAGCTGGGCAGATGAGCACCACCATGATGGGCCTATGACAGGTAGGCAACCTTGGCTCTTTTATGACTCGTGGACTTCAACTCCCAGAATTCCTGAGCCAACATGGCTCAGCTTGGAAACCCCTCCTTTTCCCCTCAGCGTGGCTAGCTCAGGAAATCTGGGAGTTGAAGTCCACGAGTCATAAAAGAGCCAAGGTTGCCTACCCCTGCCTTAGAACTAAGCACAGCACAGGAATACCTATTAATTAGTGTAACGGGCCAATCAGACCAACGAAGAGTATTAATGAAGCACCAAGACATAAGAAAACAGCCAAATGGCTATAGATACAAGCATAGGAGATTAACCTATGCCCAAGATTCCTCTCTGTACAGTAAAACTGCCCCAACTCCCAAAGGGAGATAAAAAACAGAAATTCTTATTAAATAAGTGTAAGAATAAAAAAGCAAGTTCTTATTGTAGAGTCTGAGGTTAATCTAATTAGTGGTAGCCAAAACATTCTACGAACCTCAGTCCAGTATCAAATGAATTGAGCTCAATTTTAGCAACCATATAAACATGCAATTGCAACAAAGCTTCTTTGACACATTTCCTTCCAAATGTTCATAGTCCAGTTTTATTCATTTTTTTGTCCACACGGCATAAGCAATTATCTAACCTCCAGAATGCATTATTCAAAAACTTTCTCAAACGCTCACTTTCATTCACTTTATAAAACCTGAATCTTTTAACAATGTACTTAAATATATTGAAATAGAACTGTATTTTTTTAAAAAACTCTAGGCAATACAACTAGGCAATTATCAGAAGTTGCAAGCTAAAATGCAGTTTTCTACCCTCAATCAAAGCTTGAGAAACTAAAAATCCACTTGGGAATAAATCATCTTAAGTACATTAAGTATATTCACCACTACTATATTAAATTTAAAAAAAAAAACAGATTTACAGTACTTTCTTAAAGAGCTCGGTTTTCTTAAAATTGAAAGTGTACCACAGTCGTTAAAGAGTCAAGACTTGATTAAAATCTTCAGCCAGATTAAAAACTGAGGGGAAAATTCTGTGTAAAACATCTGGGGTGACTTTGGGTTGGATAAAAGGGTCTCTTTATTATTGCAACATCTAAATACTAATATTGATTGTCACCACAGCAGAGGCTTTTAAAGGACACTAAATTAGCAAACATTACTTTCTAATCACTTCCAGGAATAAACTCATTAACTATTCCTAAGGTATTAGAAACTTTTAGAAAGACAAGTTGGAAAATGTCAGATCAATCTGCCTTCAATCAAAAAATGAAAGAAAATTTTTAATCACAAGCTTAGAATTTAAAGAATCTGAAATAAACAGGAAAAAGCTAAATAAGATTTAATCTCAGAAAATTGACTAAGGGTCCAGATAAAATTGGAACGTTGAAACTTTTACAATAAGATTTAGGAACTAATTATGAAAACAAACTGCTTCTCCTGGGAAATAGACTATTTTGGTGTTTACAATACATACTAAAGATACACAGTTTCATAATTTCCAAATTTATGAACAATTTCAAAAACTGGAAATGCGTACATTATCCGAGTGTAGCTCTATACACGCATTATCCTGTCCTTTCTTAGAGTAAACAAACATTATGCAAAGTGCACAGGACTAAAAGCAAGTAACAGACTTTGTGACAATAATAGAACAGACACATTTCAGGCAGCAAGTTTATTGTAAAGTAAGTGGTGTGCTAAATTAAGGCAATTATATGTGCAAAGTAAAAGATCCTGATCAACCAATGCATACTTATCTGTCTAGGATAACTTATATTTTTATAAGCTCTGATAGCTGGTAGCAATAGTTGGCTGTTTGCAGCTCTTGTTTTATTTTCTGACAGTTGCTTCCTATTGACCCACGATGGCCAAGAGCAAGCTTCTGTAATCCCCACCGGTGTCACTTGAAATCATGGTAGCCAAAGTCTTGTGGTACATCTGTGTGAACAGCTGCTTGATCTGTACAAGATCAATCTGTCCCAAAAGAAATAGAATAAAAATATCACATGGAAGAAATTTAAAGCCACACCTTCAAGTTGAAAGAGGAGGCTATTAAGTTTTTAACTTTTTTTTTCTTTTTAAAAAGTACAGTATGTGTGTATGTGTGCGTGTATCTTTCTCTTTTTGCCTTTTTTTGCTGGAAGTTTTATTTCACCAATAAAAAAGGGTCTTAAAAAACCCCCAAATTTCAACAAAAAATTTAGATCACATCCTTTTCAGCAAGAAACGTGACTTCAGAAATGATCATAATTGCGTTCATGTTGTTGGAGCAGTATTGAAAGTAATGCTTTATTTAAATATACAATTCCATTTCAGTCAGATGCAATTACATGGGCTAACTCAACCTTGAGATTTATCTCGGTCACGTGGGAGCTGACTTTTGGACGGAGAAAATGCATAATTAAAAGCATCGTTCACTATTAGAAATGCAAAAGCATGGCTTCCACTACAGTATTTTAGAGGTTATAAATATATATAAATCAACCACCAATGACTGTAATGAATAATGGCTTCAAATTGTGTGTGTGTGTGTATGTGTGTGTACATTTTGCATTTTTTTCAGATTTTTTTCTTTTATAATTTTGGGTATTCTTTTTCAGTTTGTTTTTGTTGTTGTATTTGGTTAATTTAAAACAAAAAGGGGGTGTCAACGCTGCTAACATCGGATGTTTTTGCTTTGACAAGAGTTAGATGATGCTGGGGAGGAGGATTGTGCATCACAGTTTAGATAGACATAATAGTGTATGAGCCAAGGTTAATGAAATAAGAGATGATAAGAATTGGCTGGGCTGGAGAAATGGAGGGAGAGCCTGCATTTCAAACTAATTGGAGAATGTGATTTATGACTGTTAATTGGAAGAGGGAATCGTGCTTTGATACTATGGGCTCAGGGGGGGGGGGAATCCAGATTTTGGCTTCCGCTATGTTAGTGCCGAAGCTATGCTACTCCAATAAAGATTCTTTAAGCCAGGTAAGCAATGCCTCAAGAAGTTCTTTGAAGAGTTTCATCTGTCGGAACCATGACAGGGGGATTATAATCATTAATACTTTTATTTTAAAAAATGTCCCTGTTTATATCACTTTATATCCTAAGTCATTGTGAGCAACGGGACTGGCACATTTCCATTACTTGTATTTTCAAGTAGTATTACCTGATGGAATTAAAAAGCTAAGTTGCTACAGGCAACGGCTACTTTCTGAAGCTCCAATGCTCATCACTTATCAATGTTTCAACTGACTTTACTGTCATGAGAAATTCATTTATAAAAAATATATAATTTCTCATGACAGTTAATAATAACATTAATAAAAAAATACAGTCCTCGACTTGCAACAGTGCATTTAGTGATTCATCAAAGAGGCAGAGGCACTTATGATTCTTGCAGCATCCTCATGGTCATGTGATCAAAGTTCAGAGGCTTGGCCACTGATTCATATGTATGACAGTTGCAATGTCCTGGGGTCACGTGCCCACCTTTTGCAATCTTCTGACAAGCAAAGTCAACGGAAAAGCCAAATTCACTTAACTATGTTACTACCTGGACAACTGTAGTGACTCAGTTAACAACTATGGCAAGAAAGGTCATAATGTGGGGCAAAATTAACTGTCTTGCTTAGCAACAGAAATGTGGGGCTCTCAATTATGGTTGTAAGTCAAGGGCTACCTGTCTGGAGTTAAGGACAATTGTTATGTTATTCTAGTTTTTTATTGTTATTTTTCCTCCTAAAAGGTGTTTTTTTTTAATTGAATTGAACCACTTATATGTCATATTAAAGGTGTAAACATCTCTTAATCTAGGGCTTTTCAACCTTTTCACCCATTGTACCACTTTTAGGATATGGCAACATCCGAGTACCACCAGTCGCCTAGCAAGGTGTCAAAAACTTGATGACCAAAAAAAAAAAGGAAACAAGTGATAAAGTACAGATAGTCCTCGACTTACAGCAGTTCGCTTAGTGACTGTTCGAAGTTACAATGGCACTGAAAAAAGTGCCCCCCCAAGCCACAGCCGAGCAAGACGCCTGCCTGCCCGCCCAGCAGCGCTCTTCCTCCTGTCCGAGGTTTTCATTGTTGTGAGCATTTCTGTTGGGGATTGGTAGCAGGGGTGGGGTGGGGGTGTTTGGTTTTTATTCCTGTCTGCTGGGTGGTTGCAGCAGGTTTTGGTCACTTCACATGACCCTGGGACACTGTGACCGTCATAAATATGAATCAGTTGCCAAGCATCTCAATGTTGATCCTGGAGCTTCCACTGAGCCCTGACAGCCCTGCAGCTCCAGCCATCTCTCGCTCAGGCTTGTGCGGTGCTGCCACCGGTTCAGCTCATTCCCCTCCCCCACTATCACTTTTCTAGGATGGTCGCGTACCACCTGCCAGGTGCCAATGTACCACAGGTGGTACCCATACCACTGGTTGAAAAGCCCTATCTTAAGTGATTTATCATGGTCTGATTTTTTTTTTTTTTACATCTCAAAAGCCTGGCATTTTAACAGGAGTGTGTAGACTTTCTATATCCACTGTACAACAGCAAGACACACCGTTATGAATGCTATAGAGAACGTAAACATTCTTACCTCACTGCGAGTTACAATAATTCTAACCAGCGTAGAATCGTCTGTGCCGGCTCCTTTCATGGCATGATAAAGTCTTTCTGCAAAAAAGGCTGGGCGATTTAGAGCACATTGTACTGCAAAAGAAAGCAATCCCAAGAATATGTCCAGATTAGCACCGGGAATTAAAAAAAACAACCCACTGTTTTCCAGCAACAAGGCTGAACGTTTTAAACACAAACTTTAGACACAAAACTTAACTTTGGCATTATTAATACAGCCCCTTTTAGGTAGAGAAATGAGTAGAAGCCTTGAGATCACTGAACACTGATAGTGGTAGGTGGGGAATGTATATATAATTCAGTTCATTGAGATTTGTGATTTCATTTTTAAAGTTGATGTGCTATATAATTGGGCTTCTATCAGAATGGAGAAGAGGGGAAAAAAGCAAGTCAGACGTAGCAAAACTCCCAATTTTTAGATCTAAATCCCTGGCATTAAGAAGCCAATTAACATCCTGAGGTCCTGGTGGAACATGAAGAAATATTTCTCCTTTGAATTATTGCCTCACAGAAATCTGTCCTAGATTAATAAACTGTTGGATTGTGATCTTGATAATGAGAGACAAATATGAAAAATTCTATGAAGGCAGGCAGAATCTGAAGTTCCCACGTGAAATCGTTAGGCTAAAACCCATTGTTCAAAAACCCCCCAACTGCCTAGTCCAGGGGTAGGCAACCTTGGCTCGTGGACTTCAACTCCCAGAATTCCTGAGCCAGCATGGCTCAGCTTGGAAACTTCTCCCTTTCCCCTCAGCATGGCTGGCTCAGGAATTCTGGGAATTGAAGTCCACAAGTCATAAAAGAGCCAAGGTGGCCTACCTCTGGCCTAAGCCTAGGCCACTCTATGACTCGTGGACTTCAACTCCCAGAATTCCTGAGCCAGCATGGCTCAGCTTGGAAACCTCTCCCTTTCCCCTCAGCATGGCTGACTCAGGAATTCTGGGAGTTGAAGTCCACGCTTCATAAAAGAGCCAAGGTGGCCTACCTCTGGCCTAGTCCATAGGAGCCAATCCAGAGTTGTGAAGATGTGAGAACTCCAGTCAAAAACTGGGATAAGAAGATGTTCCCAGGTGTCTCTTCCTCGGTGCCTGCCTCAGACATTTCCCTCCTTGCTAACATTTCCCAGAAAGGTATATTAAAGTGCAGAAGAACAGAGTAAACACAGCAAATCTAAACACATCAGAGGAGAGCTCGAAAGGTCCCCCCCTCCCATCAGGACGGCAGCCTCCCGACAAGGATCTATAGCAGTGGTTCTCAACCTTTTTAATGCCGCGACCCCCAACCGGTCGTAAGTCGAGGACTACTCAACCGGTCGTAAGTCGAGGACTACTCAACTGGTGCAGCACCGTTTGCAGAATGGGACTTTTGGCGGGCTCAGCATGGCAGAGACAGCCTGGACAATTCCTATTGGCTTTTGAAAGCCAATAGAATTAGACTCTATTCAAGAGAGTCTATTCTATTGGCTTTCAAAAGCCAATAGAATAAAAGGGAGTAGCACAGCTAAGGAAAAGGGGGAGCTGCGTTGTTTGGCGACCCCCGTGAAATGGTCGTTTGACCCCAAACGGGGTCCGAACCCACAGGTTGAGAACCACTGCTCTCTAGGGACCTGACAGCCAGCCTAAAAGTTTTGTTCCAAGCCATTTGTTAAATAAGATAATTAAGCACACTTATTCTTACATTACCTAATTTCTTCTATTTTTAATTCCCTGAAAGAAGATATTATAAATCTCGCTTCAAATCAGTGGCATCTTTCAAAAACTATTGTAATTATTCATTCTTATAGATCCTTGAAAATTAAATTAGCTATAAAATTAAAAAAAGGGAAAAAGATGGGGAAAACAACTTACAGATAGTCTTCAAGCCACGCTCTACATTTCCTGAAAATTCCCGGCCAATGGTGCTTAATAAATCGCGGTTAGCTATCTGCAAATAAGCGTCAGAAAAACGAAAGAAACTGTAAAGAATGCTGATGCAGTAAAATCAAATTTTTCCCTTTTGCGGGCAACAGTTTACTAGAGGTGCCCCACCTAATCTTCTCGCCGTTTGGTATACCTGTGAATAAGCTTCCACGGTAGCTTTCAGCTGGGGGAAGCTTCTAGATGCAAGGATCATGTTGAAGCAAGACTCATCCGTTCCCAGCTTTCCTTCTCCAGCTTGGTAAAGTCGTTGTGCATCTTGTTGAGCTTTTTGATAATCTACAGTAGGATTCTCGTCCCGATTACCCTGCAAAGAAAAACAATGTATTGTGACCACTGCACACTAACTTTCACTTTGTCACTAATCACTTAACAATATAAACCAGTGGTTCTCACCCTGTGGGTTGGGACCCCATTTGGGGTCGAACGACCATTTCACGGGGGTCGCCAAACAATGCAGTCCGCCATTTTTCCCCCCTTTTCCTTAGCTGTGCTACTCCCTTTTATTCTATTGGCTTTTGAAAGCCAATAGAATAGACTCTCTTGAAAAGAGTCTAATTCTATTGGCTTTCAAAAGCCAATAGGAATTGTCCAGGCTGTCTCTGTCCTGCTGAGCCCGCCAAAAGTCCCAGTCTGCAAACGGTGTTGCATCAGTTGAGTAGTCCTCGACTTACGACCGGCTGAGTAGCCCTCGACTTACGACCAGTTGGGGGTCGCGGCATTAAAAAGGTTGAGAACCACTGATATAAACAATGAAAAACACTGTATTCTAAAAACAAAATAGCCACACTATGTTCTTTGTAAAATTACTTTTAATAAGAATTTGTTAAAAATGAAAATTAGTCATGAATCATTTCTAAACCCCATGTTTAGCTTCATGCTCTTTGCCGTGCTTTGAAAAAGTCTAGTTAAAACTGTATAGAGAAAAATTACCACTTGGAATGTGGGCTACCATCCATATATTTTTACAAGGGATTTCTGAACTTACTTGTCTACTTAACTACTTCTACTTCTGTATGGCAAGTAATATTTAATGTCCATTTAATTTCTTTAAGATAACCTGTTTCAATGCTTTTAGGTGAACACAAGCAAGTATAATATAATAATCACACTCAAACTGAGTAATCTTATACAGCACCACTGAAAAATCAGCACATCTTTTATTTGCCATGGGAACTCCACAGATATGGAGAACTATATTAGTTTGATTTTGAAATAATCCAAATTTAAACCAGCAAATAAGAACTTAGAAATCTCTTGCAACCTTCAGGAAACTAGAGAATTTTGAGGTGGTTAGTGGTTTTCTTTAAAAAAAAAAAAAAAAGTTAATGGAAAGGAAGTTGGCTTCCTTAAGCATTTAATAATTTATAACATGTATACTTGAGCAGAGGATTAAGATGATCCTTAACTAAACTAGACGACTTTCTAAACCCTGAAAATCTTCTCAAAAGTCGGGGGTCGTCTTATACGCTGGAATATACGGGTAGCTGTTCTCTGAATTTAAAACCAATCTGCCCCCTAGTGGCCAGCCCTATTTTTTTTTAACAGAAATAAGCACTAACAGGACAAAGCTTTCTAGCAGCAAAGGAATGGAGCTCCTATTGTGCTCATCTATAAACAGAAATTCAATATTGTACTGTATTTTCTGGCGTATAAGACGACTTTCTAAATCCTGAAAAATCTTCTCAAAAGTTGGGAGTCGTCTTATACTCCCAGTCGCCTTATACGCCGGAATATACGGTAACTAAAAACACCTCCCATTTTTTCCCCCTCAAATTACTTGAAATATTTGGGGGCAGAGGGTTGGCAAAATTTATTCAACAATTAACATTTCAGTGATGCAATTCAAAATATATTCAGCAATGCTTTTCTTATAGCATTTCTTTTATATACGTTATCAGATTTTCTTTTTATTCTTATGTCTTGGACCATAAAGAAATAAACTGAATTGCTTATTAATGAAACTTGTTAGAATGCGACTACCAAATTCACTGGTTTATACCTAAGCAATTTCTGCTTTAAAACCAAACTAAAATGCTTTTTTTTTTTTTTACTTTCATCCTTTATAACAAATGTTTAAATAAATTTAAATTTGGGCTAAACACAGAACTGAATGGTATAGATAGAAACAAGCTCCTGGTAATGTGTGATGTGTGTGTTGACCAGAGTTCTGGCTGCGTATGAATACTGTCATCCCTTTATAAGGGGCAGTTATGATAACTGCCTATGGAAGCCATCCTACAGCACTGCTTTTCTTCAATGGGCCTTCTTCTCCCAAGATCTCTACTGCAGGGCTTTTCAACCTTTTCACCCATTGTGCCACTTTTAGGATATGGCAATATCCGAGTACCACCAGTCGCCTAGCAAGGTGTCAAAAACTCGATGACCAAAAAAAAAAAAAAGAAAAGAAAAAAGTGATAAAGTACAGATAGTCCTCAACTTACAACAGTTCGCTTAGTGACTGTTCAAAGTTACAATGGCACTGAAAAAAGTGCCCCCCAAGCCACAGCCGAGCAAGACACCTGCCTGCCTGCCTGCCCAGCGGCGCTCTTCCTCCTGTCCAAGGTTTTCATTGTTGTGAGCATTTCTGTTGTGGATTGGTAGCAGAGGTGGGGTGGGGGGTGTTTAGTTTTTATTCCTCCCGTCTGTTGGGTGGTTACAGCAGGTTTTGGTCACTTCACATGACCCTGGGACACTGTGACTGTCATAAATATGAATCAGTTACCAAGCATCTGAATGTAAATCACAAGACCCTGGAGATGCTGCAACATTCCAGCTAATTGGTGCTTCTTCAGGGCTCAGCAGAAGCACCAGGATCAGCGCCGAGCTCCAGCTGGACCCTGGCACTGATCCTGGCGCTTCTGCTGAGCCCTGACAGCCCTGCAGCTCCAGCCATCTTTCGCTCAGGCTTGTGCAGTGCTGCCACTGATTCAGCTCATTCCCCTCCCCCGCTATCACTTTTCTAGGATGGCCGCGTACCACCTGCCAGGTGCTAATGTACCACAGGTGGTACCCGTACCACTGGTTGAAAAGCCCTGCTGTACTGCATTTCTGAAAGACTTACTCTAACATCTTCTTGAATCAACAACATACTTTCAACTGCTAATACTCTCTACATACGTCATCGTTCTGCCAGCTACTATATCTCCATCTCTCCTCACTGCTTCCCAAAGATTTTGTAAGAGACATCTTGCCTCTTACAGCCTTTTCCTATGGGAAAATGCAACCTATGGAAAATTGTGAGAATCTACTTACCATCTAAAACAAGAAATGTACCTGGCTGGATATATTGATGACAGGAAGCTACAGATTAGTGGGTGACGGTGGACACCCAAACTTGCAGTATAAGAATAGGCTTCACAAACAGAAATATATTGCGACAGAATGTGGTTGTTAGCTCACCTGACACATAGATACAAGTAATCGTTCAAAGTGACCAGATGTATCAGCCCGAACATCATGCTCGATATCTCTTCCAAATTCACTCTTGTAACATTGGACTATTTCTTGAATCTCCCGATTTGTTCTTGTGCACAGAATTTCAATCAATACATTTTCTTGGGTACCTGCCCCCTGAAAACAGAAAAACAAAGTTGCTGTATCAACACCAAAAAGGAGTGCTAGAAAAAAAATGATCATGCCTATCTTTTATAGTACATCAACATCTAGGCTAAGCTGCTTCATATAATAGAATATACTGCAAGCATAAGTCACATTATGCAATTCCCAACTCCCAAATAAATCAGCATCAGTTTCTATCTTTGATCACCTTCTGCTCCTAATTTTCTGTGCGGTCCTGCCTGGTTCCACTTCGTGAGATTACTTAATGGACAACCTTCCTAGCTGTGGAAAGACCACATAAGTTTGAAAAGGGTGGAATATGACAGAGTCTAAATGGCTTCTCTAAATTAGTGGCTCTTCTTTTAAACAGTAAATTCCTCAATTTTAACGTTTTGGATTATCTTCACTTTTCTTCAGCAATCTTACTGCTGTCCACCTCAGTCTGATTTCTTTTTTTTCTTTTTTTTTGTAATATTTTATTAATTTTCTAATTTTACATTTAAGTATTTAAAAAGCAACGTGGTGGCTGAGTTAATCGATAATTCAATAACATACAAAAACCTTTAGTACAAATCTCAAGCTACCACATCAAATAATTCCTCTCTTTTTCCCTTAATATCTACTGTCTCATATTTAAACTAATACAGTTCTTATCATATCAATTAAATGAAGATAGCATTGTTACATTTATCAATAAATTTTTAGCTTACACATATCCTAGTTACTTTAACATTCAGTCTTTACAGACAATCAATGTCCTGTAATTAGTTTTTAGTTTCCCATCAATATTTAAATTTAACATTTGATATTTATAATTTCCAAGTTTTAGATAATCAAAGTTTCCTTTATCACGATTCATAACAAAGTCTAATATTTAAAATACACATCTTATCTATTTGAATATATTCTATTTCCCACCATCTTACATCATCTAGTTAATAATACGATATAACATCCTTATTTTCAACTAGTTTCCAAATGTCTTAAATTGAATGACCAAAATTCCCCCTATTTCAACATCAAACATTTTCTCCCTTTTTCCCTTAATATCTACTGTCTCATATTTAAGCTAACACAGTTCTTATTATGTCAACAAAGTAAAAACATATTTATTACATTTATCAAGACATTTTTAGTTTATACATATCTTAATTACTTTTACATTCAATCTTTATAGACAATCAATATCAACCACCTCTGTCTGGTTTCTTTTTGTGCCTTCTCTTTCTTCTTTCCACTTACTGCCCCATCTCTCTGATGCTTTTCTTCACTTCCCAGGCTTTACTGCCTTTATTAACGTCTCTTTCTTCTCTCCCATACAAATAGGTTGCCCTTAGGGCTCATACTGAGCCATAAGGAAGCTGCCCTATGTGTCTTTTCCACTACTGAGGCCTCCATTTAACACAGAGTAGGGGACTGTAGGAACTGTAGAATACTGGGAACCAGAGCTTCTGAGTTCCTGTCAGCATTTTTGGCGCCCGCTGGGAGTTGCACAAACATGGCCACATAAAAAGGTAAATATGATTTGACAGGCATAATAACATCCAGATCTAGTAAAATCATTCCCAGGACTTAAATATAGGCAAAGAAGCAAACTATTTGCTCAGAAACAAATACCATTTTGCTTTTCTAGCAATAAAAGAAGAGGAAGCGTAGCACTGGATTAAAATATTCATTCTTGCTCAGAGATTCAAATGAATTAATGTTCTAGAGCAGACATGTCAAACTCGCGACGTCACATGACATCGCACAATGTATAAGGCCGGTTTTGCCATTGCCAGCAATGGGGTGGGTGCAGCTTCCGCAGGCCGGCACTTTGACACCCCTGTTTTAGAGTATCTGGTTCAGTGGTTCTCAACCTGTGGGTCAGGACCCCATTTGGGGTCGAACGACCATTTCACGGGGGTCGCCAAACAACGCAGTCCGCCATTTTTTTCCCTCCTTTTCCTAAGCTGTGCTACTCCCTTTTATTCTATTGGCTTTTGAAAGCCAATAGAATAGACTCTCTTGAATAGAGTCTAATTCTATTGGCTTTCAAAAGCCAATAGGAATTGTCCAGGCTGTCTCTGCCCTGCTGAGCCCACCAAAAGTCCCATTCTGCAAACGGTGCTGCATCAGTTGAGTAGTCCTCGACTTACGACCGGTTGAATAGTCCTCAACTTACGACCAGTTGGGGGTCACGGCATTAAAAAGGTTGAGAACCACTGATCTTGTTGATGATATTCTTCCTAAGAAGGAAATGATAGTATAGAATAGCATTTTTTTTTAAATAAACTCATACCTTCATCGCATGCCTTAAACTCCAGGCATCATAATAGGTACGTGGCATGAACAACGCGAGGATCAGTTCTTCCATATTCCCACTAAGTTCCGACTTCAGGTCTTTAATTAAATCCTGTCCAGTTATCAAAATAAAGTATCAAAAGGAAGTATATTCACAAAACCTTAAACGTGTATTCGAACATATACTCAAGACAAAAATTAGCTATAGTGAAATACCGTTCAAACAAAAACTTAAGGAAATAGATGACTTATTTTACATTTTATATTATTTTATGTTATATTTACATTAGGAGACCCCAATTATTTAATTATTTTAAAACAATTACTTTCAGTTTTAAGGGTAAAACCTAAATGCAATGTTTTAATTAGTAAAACACGACTGAATAACAATAATAATTTAATGAACTCAGTAGCAACATTATTATGAAATGGGCTGCAATGCATAGGCATACTTAACACAAACAATAGACGCAAATAACTACAGCAATTAAGAAGACATAAATAAATAAATAAAGCAGTGTAAAATATCAACCCATAAGGCAGGCAATTCAGATATTCCCAACTAAACTTTTCATTTTCCACCTGGCTCACCCCAGTCCAGATTTGCATTTTATTAAAAAGCGGTTCACAGCTTCTGAAAAGAATGTTTTGTCCAAAAAGACAAAACCTGCTAGATTTCCTTCCTCTGCAGAGGTAGTCCTTGGATAACGATGGCAATTTGGGCCAAAAATTCCATCACTAAGCAATGTGGTCCTAAAATGCAATATGATGTGACCGTGTTGCACAGCACTGACAATCCCAGCACTTCTGGTTACTGTTGTAATTCCAGAAATGTATGGGTCATTAAGTGGGAAGAAATGGGAGCTCCAGGCAAACAGGCTGGCGAATGAGACCTATGGTGAGAGCTACAGGCAGGCAGCGGTGCTCGGGCAGATGCCAAAGTGGGAGAGCAGTAACAGCAGGAGCGTTGTGTCACCTCCTGCCAACTTCCCCATTGACTTTGCTTCCAAGGAATCAGCAGGGGATGTCAGAAATCATGATCACATGACTGCAGAGATGCTGCAACAGCTGGAACTCTGAGGACTAGTCATAAATATCCCTCATTCAGTACCAACGTAACTTTGAATGGATGCTGGATGAGTGATCACATAACCTGAGGGCTATCTGCATGTGCTGAGTGCAAGTGTCAATGCTGCTAACATTGGATGCTCTTGCTTTGACAACATATGGAGATGCAGCCTTTTTCTTTATTATGCTTTACTCTTAGAATTAGATCAGTGTTTCTCAACCTTGACAATTTTAAGGCATGTGGAGTTCAACTCCCAGAATTCCACAGCCAGCAATGCTGGCTGTGGAATTCTGGGAGTTGAAGTCCACATGCCTTAAAATTGTCAAGGTTGAGAAACACTGAATTAGATGATACTGGGCGGAGGGGAGGAATGTGATGGGAGTTAGTTAGACATACAATATTGTAATAAGAGCTGATAAGGCATGGCAGGATAAAAGAACTGGGTGGAAAGCCAGCATTTCAAACTAATTGGAGAATGTGATTTATTACTGTTAGTTGTAGGAGGGAATTGTGCTTTGAACTATGTGCTGAGGGGAGGGGAAGTCAGATTGTGGCTTTGACCATGTATGTGCAGATGCCATGTTATTTGAATAAAGATTCTTTAAGGTAAAAAAATGCCTTGAAGTTATTTGAAGAGGAACATCTGTCTGAACCATGACAGCAAACAGATATTCACATCCAATTAGCAAAAACAATATTCAGTGGCAATTCATTCTTTACTTCCTTGAAACCAGGTGAAAAATGGAGAGTGGATTTACCCATAAAACATAAAATGTTTTCTTTTTTAATCTGTACATAAATATAACTTGATCTTTCCTTGAGGGCTAAGACCTCAAGAAAATCCCTTGAAAATTGTAGGGCATTCAGAGGAGAGACTATCATTGAACATATATTAAACATCATTCCCACAAGGTAAAGTTCAGTAAAAATATGGATCACACACAATTGGAAGATCAAACCAGATTCCCTTTAGATCTCTCTTGGCTGCCACAAACAGACCAAATGTCCTGCCATATGGCTGCTCTTCCTTTGTCAATTACAGGGAGTCCTCAACTTACAACCACAAATTGAGACCAGGATTTCCATTGCTAAGCGAGGTGGTTAAGTAAGTCACACCCAATTTTACAACCTTTTCTGCAACGATCATTAAAGGAATTAATGCACTGATTAAGTGAATTAGGTGATTATTAAGCGAATCCAGCTTCCCCTACTGACTTTGCTTGTCGGAAGCTGGCTGGTGATCTCATGACTCAGGGATGCTGTAGCTGTCATAAATATATGCCAGTTGCCAAATTTTAATCATGATGCTACAAGAGACTTAAGTGCAAGGACCAGCTGTAAGTCACTTTTTCAGTGCTGGTGTAACTCTGTCATTAAAACAATAGCTGTACGTCAAGGACCAACCATCTTACCTTGCCATACATAGTCTTGAAAGCAGATTTAATTTGTTGCCTCTGTTCATTTGAACGGTTGGAAACAACATCAATGATTGCTTGCTCATCCGTACCTTGGAAGCAAAAAAGACATATTAAGTCAATTTTATATCAGAACCATTCATTCATCTCACCCCTGAAGGTCACGCTTGGTGTTTCAAAAGCATAGTGCTCTCACAAAATAACTGCTAAAACTAGTCAGAAATACCCATTTATCAGGAGATAATCAATCCATCAAATAATATTTATTCGGTCAGTGACTAGGAGACAACTAATGCTTTTGTTGTTGTTGTTAATTGCGAAGTCATGTCCGACCCATCGCGACCCCATGGACAACGTTCCTCCAGTCCTTCCTGTCCTCTACCATCTTCTGGAGTCCATTTAAGCTCACGCCTACTGCTGCAGTGACTCCATTCAGCCATCTCATTCTCTGTCGTCCCCTTCTTCTATTGCCCTCAATCTTTCTCAGCATCAGGCTCTTCTCCAGTGAGTCCTTCCTTCTCATTAAGTGGTCAAAGTACTTGAGTTTCAACTTCAGGATCTGGCCTTCTAAAGAGCCAGGGTTGATCTCCTTTAGGACTAACTGGTTTGATCGCCTTGCAGTCCAGGGGAATCTTCTCCAGCACCATAGTTCAAAGGCCTCAATTCTTTGGCGCTCAGCCTTTCTTATGGTGCAACTTTCCCAGCAATACATTGCAACTGGGAAAACCATGGCCTTGACTATACATACTTTTGTTGGCAGGGTGATGTATGTCTCTGCTTTTTAGTATGCTGTCTAGATTTACCATAGCTTTCCGCCCCAGGAGCAAAGTCTTTTAATTTCTTGAAGTAATGCTTACTCCTTCACAATTGCAGCAAACATCAGCCTCTAGTTGACCTTTGCCTTTTCTCTGAGCAGACAGGTATATTTCTTGGCCAAGCTCTACAGCTCTCCTCCATATTTATTTTTTTAAAAAATAACTAAGGAGCAACCTGTATGTGAATTCCAGCATCCTTCTTTAAAATAAAGATTTTTTTTTAAAAAAATTATAAATAAAGATAGGTCTTCTTTTTGCAGCACATTCACTTTCCTTTTAAAATTAAAATTAAGCCAAACTATTTTTTTTAAAAATAAATCCCGTGGGACAGGAAACCAAGAAGGGAGATGCCTAAGAAACTGTCCTGGTGACCAAAATAGGCATTTCAGTCCATGATTTTGCAGTGGGTCTCAGTCCACTCTGACCAAATGTCTGTGCATCTGGATTTCCACAAGTGTATCACAAACACCACAGATGTCACAGGATTTCTTAAAATGTGTTTTCAGCAATCCAGACGAAGGGAAAAGGTTTACAAATGTGGAGATGTCAGGGAAAAGTCTGAAGGTCAATGTTCTTTTGCTGAAGTGCATTTTACTCTAGCAAACAGATCTACGGAGATTCTCCATCATCTAGGTCATGGTCGTCCCAAAGATACTTTTTTTGCAAATGAACTTTCTTGTTTCTTTTTCCTTGAAAACATTTTGCTTCTCATCCAAGAAACTTTTTCTGACTGAATGGTTGGGAAGGAAAGAATTTACATTCTTTGCAATCATCTGGTCATTAGCACTTTAAAGGCCAGTCATTAGCTCAATCAGAGTCATGGAGGCCATTAGAGATTTACTTGTGCACTGAGGACAACCTGATTCAGAGTGCAAATGGGTGTGAAACCTTCCTCACTCAACAGACAGGAAGGGATAAGACACCACCTGTAGAACATAATTCTTTCAGAAGTCCAAAGAAGCTTCCACACCCATTTACACTCTGATTCAGGTGACCCGGAGGGTAGAGATAAATCTTCAAGTGGCCTTAACGACTTTCAGAGAGCTAGCGACTGACCTTCAACCTGCTAACAATGAGATGACTGCAAAGAGCATACATCCTTCCATTCCCCACCATTCAGTCAGAACTGAAGAAGCTTCTTGGATGACAAGTGAAACATTTTCAAAGAAGAAAACCAAGAAAGTCGGTCAGTCGCCTTTTGAAAAGCATCTTTGGGTTTAGCAAACAGGGTTTTTAACCCAGTTGTTATTTTTATTCACCTGTAGAGGTCCTATCTGTTCCAGGCATTTTTGTCCTTTGACACCGTTGCCCAATCTCTTTTTAAACCAGCAGAACCGTTGAGCCATGAAAGTAGAAAATAATATTGCCAGCAATTCTGTTGCGCAATAATTGCATATCGTTATTTCTAAAAGCAGTAATAAAATATTTAGCGAAAGTGGACGTAAAATCTATGGCTTTTGTGCTTAAACAGTGGTTCTCAACCTGTGGGTCGGGACCCCATTTGGGGTCGAACGACCATTTCATGGGGGTTGCCAAACAACGCAGTTCCCCTTTTCCTTAGCTGTGCTACTCCCTTTTATTCTATTGGCTTTTGAAAGCCAACAGAATAGACTCTCTTGAATAGACTTTAATTCTATTGCTTTCAAAAGCCAATAGGAATTGTCCAGGCTGTCTCTGCCCTGCTGAGCCCACCAAAAGTCCCATTCTGCAAATGGTGCTGCACCAGTTGAGTAGTCCTCGACTTACGACCGGTTGAGTAGTCCTCGACTTACGACCGGTTGGGGGTCGCGGCATTAAAAAGGTTGAGAACCAGTGTGCTTAAATCTAAATGTAAACACCCCCTACATATTCCAAAACATAAGAGCTCTTACCAAATCCTTTCATAGCCTTGCGCAAAATTTCTGCGTCCCTCCCTGCATCGAAGTTAGGAGCTGGTTGAATTGTTCCTTGCGTGCTCTGAGTTAATGCTGCAGGCTGAGAATGGAAACCGGTGTTATTACAAAACTTTATTCTTATTAGGAATTTGTTCGATTTTAATAATCAAATATTGATTATTACAGTGTGGCAAAGTCAGCAGACCAGTGAAATGCTCTGGTTATAATTTACTTGGATTTCAATAAGGCATTTAATAAAACAGATCACAGCCTATTACTTGATAAGATAGACAAATGTGGTTGGAGAGCATCACCACCAGGTGGATTTGTAACAATTGCACTCAAGTCTCAACTCTACAACGAACTTGGCTGCAGCCATTTTGCTCGTTTTAGGTTGCCACAAGAATGGGAGGGCGTGCGGAGGATTTTTACTGTCCCGTGGGAACCACTGCCATGAGCAGGATGAGAGAAGTCTAATTGGTCCAAACAGGAGCAAGCTGTTCAAATTTCCTCCCTGCCCTAACCCTTGTCAATGCTGTTAACATCGAATGTTCTTGCTTTGACGACATACGGAGAGGCAGCCATTTTCTTAACTTGTGCATTACTCTTAGAGTCAGAATTAGATGATACTGGGGGGGGGGGAGGAAGAATGTGTATGGGAATTAGTTAGACATAACAAGATCATAGTAGTGTGTGATTCAAGGTTGTTTGAAATAAGAGATTTTAAGAAGCAGTGGGTTGGAGATCTGGAGGGAAAGTCTGCATTTCAAACTAATTGGAGAATGTGATTTATGACCGTAAATTAGAGGAGGGAATTGTGCTTTGATACTATGTGTTCAGGGGAGGGGAATCCAGATTTTGGCTTGGACTATGTACATGCTGATGTGTTGCTACTCGAATAAAGATTCTTTAAGGTAAACAATGCCTCTAAGTTCTTTGAAGAGTTTCATCTGTCGGAACCATGACACCCTAACCCTAACCCTGGAGGGAAGAACTTTCTGGCAGATGCTCTGTCTAGAAAGCCCCAATATAAGAGCTGCCGAGAGGAGGTCATTAATTCCATCATTCCTCTGCCCCAGTCAGCCTCTCAGGTAAGCACGAGAGGCCAAATGCAAAGGAGATCCGATGAACCAGTTAGTCAATTAACGCAAAACCTCAGAGAGGAACTAAAAACAGATTCTTGGTTCAACTACAATAGATCTCTACTGATCTATCGAGATGGTCTAGCCTGGAAGGGCTCTAAATTGTACCTTCCAGAATTCAGGCCCTCCAACATAGTCATGATTCAAAGCAAGCTGGTCATTTTGGATTTTGAAAACTTTGCATTTGGTGCGGTGGCAGTTTTGGTGGCCAGGCATGAAAAAGGACATTGGGAGTTATGTACAAAGCTGTGCTACCTGTGCCGCTATGAAAAGACCTTCTGGCAAGCCTTGGGAGGAAATAGCCATGGACTTTATTGTAGAATTGCCAGAAAGCAGAGGAAGCACAGTGATCTGGACTGTCATTTATCTTTTCTCGAAGCAAGCTCACTTCATCGCTTGTTCTGGACTCCCGTCTGCCCAGAAGCTAGCCAGGTTGTTTTTAAAACACATCTATCGACTCCATGGGGCACTGAAATGGATTACATCAGATAGAGGAGTTCAATTTACTGCAAAATTCTGGAGGGAGTTTATAAAACTCATCGGATCTCCCCAGGGGCTTTCACCTGCTTTTCATCTGAGCACGAATGGATTGGCTGAACGTACGAACGCAATGACACAATGATGTTATGTTAATTACCAACAAACTAATTGGGCGGACCTCCTACCTTTCGCCGAGGTGGCGTACAACAACACTGTACACAGTAGCACTGGATTTACGCCATTTAAAATAGCTACTGGTAAGGATTTTGTTCCTGTGCCCGAATACCCCCAGGAACCTTCCGCTTCTCAAACCTTAGATCAGTGGGTGACCTCTTTTCAAGCGGTTTGGGCCAATGTGAAAAAAGCTCTAACCCGGGCTGCAAAGACATACAAGGAACAGGCTGATAAAAAGTGATCTCCCCAGAAAGCATTTCATGTGGGGGAGAAGGTTTATCTTTCCACCAAATATCTAAGGTCAAAATTACTGAGTAAGAAATTGGAACCTAAGTTCCTTGGCCCTTTTCCCATAGTCAAAATTATAAATCCTGTGACAGTCCAATTGCAACTCCCACGACTATTAGGGAAAGTTCACCCTGTTTTCCACTGCAATTTGTTAAAATCGGTCACGGAATTGTTCTTGCGGCCGGTTCCCAAAAAGGCGCCTGGCCCCATTCTGGGTAGGGGAAGAGACTCATTATGGAATCAAACGTATTCTTGACTCTAGAGCAGGGCTTTTCAACCAGTGGTACGGGTACCACCTGTGGTACATTGGCACCTGGCAGGTGGTACGTGACCATCCTAGAAAAGTGGTAGCGGGGGAGGGGAGTGAGCTGAACCAGTGGCAGCACCGCACAAGCCTGAGCGAGAGATGGCTGGAGCTGCAGGGCTGTCAGGGCTCAGCGGAAGCCCCAGGATCAGCGCTTCGGGACTGTCAGGGCTCAGTGGAAGCGCCAGGATCAGTGCCAGAGTCCAGCTGGAGCTCTGCGCTGATCTTGGTGCTTCTGCTGAGCCCAGAAGAAGTGCCGATCAGCTGGAATGTTGCAGCATCTCCAGGATCTTGTGATTTACATTCAGATGCTTGGCAACTGATTCATATTTATCACGGTCACAGTGTCCCAGGGTCATGTGAAGTGACCAAAACCTGCTCTAACCACCCAGCAGATGAGGGGAATAAAAACCAAACACCCCCCCACCCCACCCCCGCTGCCAATCCTCAACAGAAATGCTCACAACAATGAAAACCTCGGACAGGAGGAAGAGCGCCGCGGGGTGGGCAGGCAGGTGTCTTGCTCGGCTGTGGCTTGGGGGGCACTTTTTTCAGTGCCATTGTAACTTCAAACAGTCACTAAGCAAACTGTTGTAAGTCGAGGACTACCTGTACTTTATCCCTTTTTTCCTTTTTAGGAGGGGGTCATCAAGTTTTGGACACCTTGCTAGGCGACTGGTGGTACTCGGATGTTGCCATATCCTAAAAGTGGTACAATGGGTGAAAAGGTTGAAAAGCCCTGCTCTAGATTGTATAAGGGTAAATTACAGTGGTTCAGTGGAAGGGCTACCCTTTATTGGGGAAAGTGTGCAGATGTGAAAGCAGTCAGGTTGGTTAATAAATTTTATGACAAATATCCACATAAACCAAAGGAGGATTCTTAACTTGCATCTTGTTTCATTTGCAGGACCTGCTTTCTTCCTAGGGGGTCCAACTGTCAACCTGGCTGCAGCCATTTTGCTCATTCTTGCCACAAGAATGGGAGGGGTGCAGAGGATTTTTACTAGTTTAAACATTTTATTGTCCCGTGGGAACCAAGGTCATTTCTATCTGTTAGATGGGAGGCATGAGCATTTAGTTAGAAAGCCCACCAAAGTTTTTTTATTAGGGAACGTAGCTGATTGCATAGCATTAGGGTGGAAATTTCAACTTTGTAATATTGTTTCTCTTTGAAGGTGATTTCAGACTTGGTTTCATTTTTGACCGTGCCAATACTATGTAACCAATAAACATGTTCTTCGAGGAATCTTCAAGCCTCAGAGTTCTGATTTGTTTGGTCTTATCTATAGAAACCATGACAGTAGTCCTTACTGGAACTGCATTGGAAGTATGTAATGGGGTACCCCACAGCTCTACCTTAGGCCCAGTACTCATCAACATCTTCATCAATGATTTAAACAAGGGGATAGAAGAGGAACTAATAAAATTTGCAGATGATAACAAGTTGGCAGGAATAGCCAATACTCCAGAATCAAGATATTGAAGAATCTTAACAGACTTGAACACTGGACCCTAACTAATAATATGAAATTCAATGGTGAAAAAAGTAAGTTTCTACATTTAGGCAAGAAAAACCAAATGCACAGGTATAGAATAGATGGTACCTGGCTCAATAGTAGTAACTACGAGACTGCTCTTGCAATCCTAATAGACAATCAGTTAAATATAAGCCAGCAATGTGCTGCAGCTGCTAAAAAACCCAACATAGCTCTAGACTGCATTAACAGAGGAATAGAATCAAGATTACATGAAGTATTAGTACCACTTTTTATAATGGCTTGGTATTATATTTGGAATGTTGCATCCAGTATTTGTTGCCATGATATAAAAGAGATATTGAGACTCTAGAAAGAGTGCATAGAAGAGTAACAAGAGTGATTAGGGGACTGGAGGTTAAAATATATGAAAAATGGTTGCAGGAATTGGATATCTCTAGTTTAACGAAAAGAAGGACTGGGATGACATGATAGCAATGTTCCAATATTTGAGGGGATGCCACAAAGAAGAGGGGGTCAACCTATTGTCCAAAGCACCAGAAGGCAAGACAAGAAGCAATGGATGGAATATAATCAAGGAGAGAAGCAACCCAGAACTAAGGAGAAATTTCCTGACAGAATGATTAATCAGTGGTTTTCCACTCATCACCCTCCTTAATCTGGATCCGGTAATAAACCTCTCTTAAATCCAGTTTGGCAAGGGGGGGGGGGAAGATGGGTAGTTCTTGGCATTCCCTCTCCCCGCGGCACCCATCTCCTGGGTGACAGGAATCGTATCCTTTACCTCCAACCTGCCGAACTTCTCCTTCAGCTGTTTTGAGTGAGGGGCTGTGGACTGCGGACTGAAACTTCCATTCTCTGGAGTCATCCCATCCCATCAATCCCTTTCCTTTTTTGCTATCCATAGATGAAGAACCCTGGGATGGTAGCAATAGAAGCTCCTTTCCAACAGTTACAGGAGTGCTCCTGCACTGAGAGGCAGCCATGGTTTGAGAGAGGTCCTCCAGAATCGTAGCTCCTTCCTGTGGTACCAGTTTCCCAGATTGGATTAACCTGGCTTTGGGCCTGCCAGTGATGCCTCTTCGGTGGCTGGAGCACCACTTTAGGCTCCGACAGCCAGAATTCCATTGTGGCTAGCAGTGGTTTCACTCTTCTCCATTTTGAATCTTCGCCGAGTCTTTACCACTCTCCCAAAAGTGAGTGGGTAGATGGTCGGGGCCCAGCACCCCAAGAAAACAAAGTTTTATGAGACTTGGTTTAATGTCATGGTTCTGACAGAGATGAATAAAGCAGAACTCTGAGGCTTGCAAATTCCTCAAAGAACTTATTTATTAGTTACAAAGTATCAGCACGGTCAAGAGTGAAACCAAGACTGGATACATAATTTTCCAATACAAAGTTAAATGTTCCACCCATAAAAGCTATGTAAGCAACTACATTCCCAATATGATTATTTGGTGGGTTTATTATGTAACATCCAGTCCCTAGTCTTGGGAGCAGCCGATGACCTTGGTTCCCACAGGACAAAAGATTATTTTGATTAGCGAAGCACCTGGGCAGCCCCCCTCGCTCCGTTCTATGTGGCAACCTAGAATGAGAAGGAAAATGGCTGCAGCCATGCTCATTTTTAGGGTTGACACAATCCGCAAAACTAGATGTTTCACTGAAACAATTCACACTAATGAATTTTATAGCAGAAAAATAACATACCTGCAGGGGTGTTGATGGTGTTCGTCCACCAGGATACCCAGCTTCAAAAGAAAAATAGAACTGAGATACAATTCTTATATGTAGTTAATATCTTAGATGCATAACAGATTATGACTAAACATCAGGGCTTATAAAGGAGCCTGTGTGAGAAACCTGTACCTCTCTTTCAGAACCAACTATTCATTTGATAATACAACCTGGAGCGCTCTAATTTTTTGCCCAAGATAATTTTCAACAGTAATTGATTACACTTGGTTACAAAAACTAGGAATAGAGTTAGTAGTAGAGCTAGTGCACCAATGAACAGGCTATGACTCAAGGGAATTACTATGATTCAAGGGAATGGGTCTGTCTAGTCTGGTGAAAAGAAGGACTAGGGGTGACATGATACCAGAGCTGCCACAAAGAAGAGGAGGATCAACCTATTTTCCAAAGCACTAGAACAAGAAGCAACAGATGGAAACTAAACAAGGAGAGAAGCAACCTAGAACTAAGGAGAAATTTCCTGACATTGAGAACAATTAACCAGTGGAACAACCTGCCTCCAGAAGCGGTGAATGCTCCATCACTGGAGGTTTTTAAGAAGAGATTGGACCGCCACTTGTCTGAAATGGTATAGGGTCTCCTGCCTGAGCCTGGGGTTGGACTAGAAGACCTCCCAGGTCCCTTCCAACTCTATTATTCTGATATTCAGTGCTTTTAGCAAGACACAGAAAGAGAGTCCTACATACTGCCATGAAGCCAATTTATTATAGCTGAACAAATTTTATTTATATCAAATACATACTACCGCTAAAATCTGTGGTACTTGTAGACACACATATTGCACCAAAGCAATATAATCTATAAAACACAAATCAGGAGTCCCAATACCTGTCAACAGTAAAAAAAAGAATGTACATTTTCCCTGATGCATTTGATTTTTTTAATATAAAAAAATCATTTAAATCAGATTTTAGATTAACTGCTATAGGGTTTTTTGTTCTTTTTTTTTAGCTTAAATTATTGTTTCCTTTCTCTTGACAGTGAGAACAATGAACCAGTGGAACGGGTTGCCTTCAGAGGTTTTAGATGCCCCATCACTGGAGGCTTTTAAAAAGAGACTGGACAGCCCTTTGTGCAGAATGGTGCAGGGTCTCCTGCTTGTGCAGGGGGTTGGACTAGAAGACCTCTAATGTCCCCTCCAACTCTATTATTCTGGAATGCCATAGGCTCACGTGCTGCGTCTTCCTAATTTCTGTACCAATTTTCTTTATTCTCGCGTGAAATATTGCACAGATGCATTTGCACTGAGCATTCTTTGTGATCAGCTTGTAAGTCACTTTTGAAGGCTACATCAGTGGTTCTCAACCTTTTTAATGCCGCGACCCCCCCCAACCAGTCGTAAGTCGAGGACTATTCAACCGGTCGTTAAGTCGAGGACTACTCAACTGGTGCAGCACCGTTTGCAGAATGGGACTTTTGGTGGGCTCAGCAGGGCAGAGACAGCCTGGACAATTCCTATTGGCTTTGGAAAGCCAATAGAATTAGACTCTATTCAAGAGAGTCTATTCTATTGGCTTTCAAAAGCCAATAGAATAAAAGGGAGTAGCACAGCTAAGGAACAGGGGGAAAAAAATGGCTGACTGCGTTGTTTGGCGACCCCCGTGAAATGGTCATTCGACCCCAAATGGGGTCCCGACCCACAGGTTGAGAACCACTGGGCTACATGAAGCAGCAACCACACAACTGATTCCAAAATTAAGCAGAAACCCCAGTAGACGACGATGGAGCTAAGCCTGTGTATAGACGCTGTTTCTTGAATCCATGTCTCTGCATGGGAACATTTATTAGGCTGTAATGCATTTTACTTGTAAAGAAGAAAAAATATGATCACAGCTTCTTCTTATTTGAATTATACCTGGCATTTGGACTGGACCACCTCCACCATAAGTTTGGGTTTGAGGCTGTGGACAGCCAAAACCAGAGCCAGAGGGAGGTACTCCGAAACCAGCACCTGGAAGAAAATGCTTATTACTTTGCAGATAAAACTAAGACGCCATGCTATTATAACTAAAATATTTAAAAATACAGTTTATGCAAAACAATCCTTACCAGCAAAAGCTGCTTTCTAATTGCTGCTTCTCTTATCCACACTACGCCATTCTGCCCACATTTTTTATATAGGTGAGACAGATTTTTTTTTCTTTTGAAGTTTTATGTTAAGGTTTATCTTATTTGTAGAGCTTTTTCCTAATATATCTTCCAAATCGTCAGCTTGTGATATAAGACCGGGACTGGTCCAGGGCATCAGATATGCAGAAGCTTTAAACGTGACCAGGACTTGATCAATACTTGATTAGGAAACAAATCACTGGTATGTATTTAGTGTTTTCCCTCTGTTTTATTCTCCTAACAATCCATTATTGTTATACACCAGGGGTGTCAAACTCAATTTCATTGAGGGCCGCATCAGCATTGCGGTTGCCCTCATGGGGCCGGGTGGGTGTGGCCAGGGTGGGTGCGGCCTACTGGGTGGGCGTGGATGGTGTGGCTGTGGCCTACTGGGTGGGTGTGGCCAGCTCTACATCGTTCGCATCAAGGGTGCCTGTGGGAGCCTGGGCAGGAGTGGGACAGATCTGAGAGTCTCTGGCAGAAGGGGGGTAGGACCGGGGCAAGTGCCAAGGCATGGTCCACTGGAGGAGCTTCATTGTTCCTCTCAGGCCATGCGGGGGGGGGGGGGCTTATGGAGCTAAGACTGAATGCGTTTCAGCATAGATGGCCATCACAAAATTGTACACTGGCTCCCGGCCGGCCTGGGCCAGGTCCAAGGCAGCAGGGGCCGTTCCCTCACTGTTTCCAGGATGGCTTCACGGGCCACATGAAACCACTTCGCAGGCTGCATCCGGCCCCCGGGCCTTGTGTTTGACATGTCTGTTATACACTGCGATACAGCAGGATAGCAGTCCTATTACCTGCTTGCTTAGATTTCTTGAAATACCAGACACAAACATTCAGCACTCGAAAACCCACACTGCAAACAGCACTTGGGAACATACCTCCAGGATAAGTAGGCATGCCACCAGGCTGAGGTAGTCCAGGGTATCCACTAGATGCGGGAGGATACCCACCAGGTGCAGATGGGTAGCCTGCAAACCCTGGGAATTCCCCCGTTGGTGGAGCTACATTATATTCACTGCCTCCCACAGGTGGGAAGCCTCCAGGCACCGCAGGGTAAGAATACTGATTAGCAGGTGGATATTCCTGTCCTGTAGGCTGAATAGAAACAACCAATCAAGTATTAGCATACTGGGAAACAGACTCTATTACTCATTTAATTAAGCAGCATAGGATCTACACATGTTATAGCCAGCACGATAATTACTGAAAATTCTGGGAATTAAGTCTACATGGGAAGCATCTATCCTGGGGTTGGTTCCCTTACAACAGACATATCAAACTCACGACATCGCATGACGTCATGCGACGTATTGGAGCTTTTTCCCCATTGCTGGCAATGGGGTAGGCGCTGTTTCGTCGTGAGGCATCCAGCCCACAGGCCAGCAGTTTGACACCCCTGCCTCACAATGATAAAGATGCTTTTGGAAATCTTTCTCATGTGCAGTATAGCTCATTATGGCAATTTTATGAGACATTTTGAGGGTGTAATTATTCCTTTATTTATTTATTTATGAGACTTATATACCGCTTTAAGTACAAGCACTCTCTATGAGATTTATATACCGGTGTACACCAGTAAGCAATGTATATATATATTTACATTGCCCCCAACAATCTGGGTCCTCATTTTACCTACCCCGGAAGGATGGAAGGTGAGTCAACCTTGAGCCGGTGAGATTTGAATCGCTGACCTGCTGAACACAGTCAGCTAAAGTAGCCTGCAGTATTGCACTCTAACTGCTGCGCCACCTCGGCTCATCATTTCGGCTTAATCATCAAGTTAACATTTTTGTTACAGGATAATCTGTCCCTTCTTCTGAATTCAGAATCATATGTGGAGAAGGAACTTAGCTCAGCCCACATCTCAGCTATATTTTTAGTTACACAAGCCAAGAGTGAGTTCTGCTCAATTTTCCTCAGGCCTAATTTTTTATCTATAAAAAAAAATGGGGATGACAAAGACCAGACTTGACTCCCAGGTTACAAGAGGTTTTGCAATTGTAATATTGTGAGGAAAATGCTTAGAAATCCCATTTGAGGGAGCACTAGGGGCCATCCCAATACATTTTTGTATGTACATGTCCAACCACAGAATCTATTTCATCGTGCCAATGTGTTCATTATCCAGGCACAACCACATTTCGGTTTTCCTCGTCATGCTGATCTCCCAGTTAAAAAGTCCTAAAAAATTATTCTTGTACATGTTCAGCCTCAGTCACGCTTAAGATCCTTTCCTGACAATATATTTCCCATTCGTGTTTCAATTTCTTCTATAAAAGTCTTTTCTCTTTTATTCTACAATATATTACAAGCCTCCCCTATTGTCTCTTGCCACTGAGATCAACTTGATAGAACTTAGAACAGGGGTCTTTAAACTTGGCCCTTTTAGGGTTAGTATTGGTCTAGATCAGGGGTAGGCCACCTTGCCTCTTTTATGACTCGTGGACTGTAGTGGCTCAGGAATTCTGGGAGTTGAAGTCCACGAGTCATAAAAGAGCCAAGGTTGCCTACCCCTGGTCTAGATGATCTACAAGGTCCTTTCCAACTCTGTTGTTGTTGTTGTTAACTTTTCTTCTGTATTTAATGGAAAAAGACTTGGGAGGGGAAATGGAATTTTGATATTATATATGTTGATGGCAGCAAGATTACTTTACGCACAAAAATAGAAGGACACTTTGATTCCTACAATGGATGAATGATTGCAAAAGTTGATGGAGTTACCAGAGATGGCCAAATTGACTGCTTTGATCACAGAAAAAAATACAATAACTTTTGTTTTTATTTGGAAACTGCTTCTGGACTTTGTGCTTGAGGTGGTAAAAAAATGAAACTCTGATTTTGGGTTTTCCTGATTAGATAGGTTTGTTGTTATAGAAATGGATAGTATATATTATTATGTAAAAGTAAAAAATCGAGATTTGATGCTATTTTTATTCTATTATTCTATTATGTTGCTGCTATTATTATTATTATTAGTTATTAGTTATTATTATTATTACTATTATTCTACTGCACCAAAGGGAGTCAAAAGTCAGCCCCTTCTGTTTCCCTGTGCCCCACAATTTTCCTTCCTCTTTCCATCCCTTATTTTCCTACTGTTTTATTTTGTATTTTATATTATAAATTCATAAATTGTAAAAGAAAAAAAAAGAAATGAACAGAAAATCATTGCCATTTATAGTTTTTTTCATAAACAGAATGTATGAGGCTTTATTTTACCAATCTCAAGCTAGATTCAGACCAAATTGTGCCGCCATTAGTTTATTACATAAATTGCTCCATTGTCTTCTTTTTTGAACCTTGGTTTCCCCAGCCCCCAGCATATAATAACCAAATCAATACTTGCAGGATAACCAGGAAAAGATGGGTAGCCTGATGGAGGATATCCTGGATATGACATTCTGTAAGGTAAGAAAAAAAAAAAACACACTTGACACTTTCTGTAGAATTTCATCATTTCAAGCATTGGGGCACAAATGAACTCACAGAAGGGAGAGAAGAGGCATATAAAACTCCTTTTATTCACACCACTTTTTAATTGTATATCTATGTGTGTGATTATTATTGTTAATAATAATAATTTTTATTTGTTTTTAAATTTCTTCAAGTGAACGCTTTACTTTTTAGGAATTCATGAAAAAAAGGAAGGAAGGAAGGATAGCCTGAGATTAATTCATTCGATTAGTTATATTTTTGGCTATATTATAAATGAATCATAGCAAGCGTATGTCTTGCCTGATAGCTGGTTGCTTACCAAATGTTCACCGAATACCCAAACAGATAAAAAACATAAAGCCCAGATTTCTAGGCAACGGGAAATAGTTGCAGATACCGAAATTGTAAACAAGGGCTATGCAAAATATTTCAAAGAGGTGCTCTGTAATGTAGTTTTTTAAAAAAAAAAAACTCTCTTGATATTATTAATACATTTGGGTTTCTTGGAAGGCCCACATAACTACGCTAAAGGCCATCCCCAGCTGTCTTTGTACACATGTGGAAACAACAACACTTAATTGGCAATCCCAATGAAAGTGCTGTTTGTATATTCACACATATGTACAGACCACTGAGGACAGCCTGCAAAGCAGCCACACAAATGGTCGTTGCAAAACATACGAGTATTGTAATGCTTCTGACAGGGATGCTATGTCCAAGCACAATCCTAAAGATCACTTTAAAAATGCAAAAGTATACAGCTTTAAGATCCATTTTGTTGGGCTAAGCCTAAGAATGACATACAGTGAGGGGAAAAAAGTATTTGATCCCCTACTGATTTTCTCCGTGTGCCCACTGAAAAAGAAATGATCAGTCTATATGTGCCCACTGAAAAAGAAATGATCAGTCTATAATTTTAATGGTAGGTTTATTTTAACAGTGAGAGACGGAATAACAACAGAAAAACGCATTTCAAAAAAGTTATAAATTGATTTGCATTTTAATAAATGAAATGAGTATTTGAACCCTTCACAAAACATGACTTAGTACTTGGTGGCAATCACAGAGGTCAGATGTTTCTTGTAGTTGGCCACCAGGTTTGCATGCATCTCAGGAGGAATTTTGTCCCACTCCTCTTTGCAGATCCTCTCCAAGTCATTAAGGTTTCAAGGTTGAAGGACGAACCTTCAGCTCCCTCCACAGATTTTCTGTGGAATTAAGGTCTGGAGACTGGCTAGGCCACTCCAGGACCTTAATGTGCTTCTTCTTGAGCCACTCCTTTGTTGCCTTGGCCGTGTGTTTTGGGTCACTGCCATGCTGGAATACCCATCCACAACCCCTTTTCAATGCCCTGACTGAGGAAAGAAGGTTCTCACCCAAGGTTTGATGGTACATAACTGCGTCCATCGTCCTTTTGATGCGGTGAAGTTGTCCTGTCCCCTTAGCAGAAAAACACCCCCAAAGCATAATGTTTCCACCTCCATGTTTGATGGTGGGGATGATGTTCTTAGGGTCATAGGTAGCATTCCTCCTCCAAACATGCAAGTTGAGTTGATGCCAAAAGAGTTCAATTTTGGTCTCATCTGATCACAACACTTTCACTCAGTTCTCCTCTGAATCATTCAGATCGTTCATTGGCAAAATTCACTTTAAGAGAGTGCTCCTAATCTCAGCTCATTCCCTTTATAAAAGACACCTGGGAGACAGAAATCTTGCTGATTGATAGGGAATCAAATACTTATTTCATTCATTAAAATGCAAATCGATTTATCACTTTTTTGAAACGCGTTTTTCTGGATTTTGTTGTTGTTGTTGTTCTGCCTCTCACTGTTAAAATAAACTTACCATTAAAATTATAGACCAATCATTTCTTTCTCAGTGAGCAAATGTACAGGGGATCAAATAATTTTTCCCTCACTGTAGAACAGACATGTCAAACACAAGGCCTGGGGGCCGGATACGGCCCGCGAAGTGGTTTCATGTGGCCCACGAAGCCATCGTGGATATAGTGAGGGAACGGCCTCCACTGCCTTGGCCCTGGCCCAGGCCAGCCGGGAGCCAATGTACAACTTTGTGGTGGCCATCTTGGCACTTGCCCCAGTGGACCATGCCTTGGCGCTTGGCCCAATCCCACCACCTTCTGCCAGAGACTCTCAGATCTGTCCCACTCCTGCCCAGGCCCCCATAGGCACTCTTGACGCGAATGATGTAGAACTGGCCACGCCCACCCAGTAGGCTGCACCCACTCTGGCCACACCTACCCAGCCCCCCCCCAGGACAACCGCAATGCTGATGCGGCCCTCAGTGAAATTGAGTTTGACACTCCTGCTGTAGAACAATTCATTCAGAGTTCAGTTCTTTATTTGCTTACCCGCAATAGACAGAATCCTACCAGACTAAACCTTTTATTATTCTCACCCTAAAAGATCTGTCCCGAGACAGCCAAGTAGCAGCTATCCTAACTCTCTTCCTCTGTCTTGGACCCTGATGAAGATCTGCAATGTTAACCTTAATGTTTTTTCAAACTCTGCCTGCAAGCTACCCCCCCCCCCCCTTCCACTTCTCCATTTCTTATCCTCTGTTCTCCATGCCTTTGTCTGATCAGCACTGTCTCTTTTGGGAGAAACACCCAGAAAGGGGGGACTCATGTCTTTGAGCCCTACACAAATGACTCAGCCACCTTTGGAAACAGAGCACACTTATCAGACGCTGCCTCCACTCATTTGAGCCATGGAATTGGGTTTGAATCCAGCCATCCACTAGAAAGCCACCATGCAACCAGAGTGGAACAGATTTTCCCAATCCCCCCAGATGCCTGTGAAAACTGCAGAGGAAGGAAGGACTCTCAGAGCCATTGGCCCTCACGTGAAGCCTCAGAAGACAACAGGAAGACTTTGGGGGAGGGCAGAAACTCATCGTAAGGTTTTCTTTCTTGCCCCATTTGTGTTGTAATTAAGCAGTTGAATGGATTCGTTGAGAGATGGCATTTGGGAATGGTTGGCACAGTAAGAGTTGAACACCTTGGAGTTCTGTCTGGTGGGAGGGAAAATTTGTCCAGGATGCTTGTATTGCTTTTTTGTTAGAAGTAGCTGAATGCACACACGCGCACTCACACCATTTCAAACCACACTGAGTATCCTCTTCACCTACCTTCAATAAAGCTCTTTAGCTGGTTCTTGCTCTGTGGCACTAAAGCTTTGCATGCACAACTTCCTGCAAATTCCAAGGGAGGGGGAATCAGGCCCCCTCAGGCAATTTGCAATTCATATGCTCTCACTGAGGAAGTAGCAGGAAAGAGATCTCCAAAACCCAAACCCTGAATATGTTGCCCTAGTGGACTCAGTGTGGGAGTCCTAGGGCTTCCTGTGTACAATTTCATAGCCTGGTTTGCACACTGGCTAACCTCAACTGGACATCACAAACCTCGATGCACTGAACTAAGAGCTAAGGCAGGAAACAGCCCTTGAAAACGGGCATCCAGTAATTATGTATTGAGGCAAAACATGGCTGTGAAGAAGTTTGGGAGGCATGTGCAGACCTGACTGGAAAGCTCAAAGTGGCATCAAACATCTAATATAACTGGAACAGAATACTGGACACTATACATTTATTTTCAATCTAACAGAACTTTTGCCCTGACTTTTAGACTTTATGGGTTGGAGGCTCCCTCTTTTTGGATCCACTGCAGGGATCTTTTTGTGCTGCCTCTATTAGTGTCTTCCCTTCCTGCATTAACAGATTAAAAGCTTGTTTCCCCACATCCTGGAGCCCCCATAGAAAGAATATATGGAGAAGATCTTTTAAAAGGCATAAACTTCTCCCTCCCCCAGCCAGAAAACTCAGCAGAAACCAGCTTTTAGAAATGCAGATGTAATAATCCATTCAGGAAGGTTGGAGCCAGGAAGCTAGAAGCTGATGAGATTAGGACCACAAAGACCCCTAAAATCTACATACCCACCCAAACTCTAAAAGACATGACATAATGTCTTTGGGGACATAATAGGATTAACCCACCAATACCAAAAGGGCACACTCAGACAAGTCAAAGTACATGACACAGGAAATACAAAGCCTCAAACAGGAACAGGAAACAACCTCAAAAGCCCAAGAAAGTATAAAAATCCACCACTCCCAGCTACATGTGGTCAGTTCCTCAGAGCCATACTTCTGTCTGGCTTTGCTCTTTGTTAAACTATAACCTTCTTTCTAAAGCAGTCTCCATTTTGTTTATTCCCAGCTTGGACTGGACCCTGATGAAGATTTTTCTTTCAACAGTCTCTTATCCTACTCCTGGCTATGCTGCTTCTTATCTCAAGTCCTCTTTCTCTCCTTCTTGGGAAACTGCTACTTCATTCTAATTCATCACACTAACTTGTCCTCCATTGGCATCATCTCTCACAAATTCACAAAACTCTCCTCATTAAAAAAACTAAGAAAACAATAATTATAGTGTTCTACGGAAAGTATCTAATAAGAACGAGCAATTCTTACATTTGATGCCATGATCTTAAATCCAAAAGTGTTTGCTTATAGGTAAATAGTATTTATTTAATTTAGCTTCTTTCCAAAGAATCTCTTTTGCTTATCAAACTTTTTATGGGTTTTCAGTGCAAGGTGAAAAAAATGTTTAATAATTGAAAAGATAAACACAAATATTTCTGTAAATAATTCTCAGGTCACAAATATATAGCACTTCAAGACAGAATTTGCTCCTCAGACCTCTGCCCAAAATTCTTTAACTGGAGATGCCAAAAAAAAGAAAAAAATCTATATGGGCAGCCATACAGTGAACAGAGAGTATAGAATGAATGAACAAATGAATAAATAAATGCTAGAAGGTTTCTGGCTAGATATTTTGTTGTTGGGGCAAAACAACAAGTTTCTGTGAAATATTTAAATTCTAAAATAGCCATCACCAAATCTGGCACTGTCCAAATGTTTACTTTGTTACACATGTATGCCAAAG